ACATCAGAAATTATTTCAATCAGATCAAAACCAGTCAGATCATGTGAAGAGAAGAAGCCCTAATTAGTGTGCTAAGAAAAGAATATGGCACCTATTCTTGCTAGCCGGTTCACCCATTTCGGTATGTTGTTCCCTGTCAACTTGTGGCAAATATCCTGACAGAAATGGTTGCAGTTCTTGGTGATGAGATGATAGGAATCGCCGTTGTAATTTGCAGATTGGCGCTCCATGAACTGCCTAACTTGGACTGGGTCCAAAAAGGTTGTTCCCATGAGAATGGATCTTCTGAACTTGAAGCCGGGGCATTGTTTAGGTTCAACCTCAAACACGCCGCTTGTCGGATGTTCATGTGCCCCAAATGCATATTCAACTCCATAAACTGATAACAAAAGATAGTATAAACCCCCTACGTCCATGAGTATTTCTCCAATTTTAACTTTTCGCAGTCACAATTGAAAAATTTTGACCACTAATTAAATAAAATTCATATTGGATGTTGATACAAAAGTAATCTTATTAGATTTGTTTTATATAATATTTTCAAAATATTATTTTATCTAATCAACATACTTTATCGATTCTATTTAATTATAGGTCAGAGGCTGAAAGTAGTTGACTGCAAAATAGTACTACATAACAAGATATTTATTACTCATGCATCAAAGCATGTGAAGGTGGACTGACCTTCTATCCCGGTGTGAAAGACGCCGACTCCAGCCCAGTAGAAGTATCCATTAACAGGAGTCAAGTCATAGACATTAACATAAACGGGCGCGTTGCCTGGGCTATTATACACTGAGGACTTCACATCAGAGAACAAGCAAAACTTGAGGGCGGATTCGCCCTGCAAGTGGAGGGGTACAATGGAACGCAACCTTTTCTTTAGTTTAGATGTCATCCTCCTCAAGGTGTGAAACTAGGACTAATGACACCCAGTTCCAACCTGCACCCAGTGAAAGAACACTTCAAAAATATATTGCAGCATTTTAAAAGTCTCCGTAGATGATACGCAGAAAGGGGAGTTGTGTGCGAAGCTCTAGCATATGAAATTGTAAGGAACGAACTCAACAAGAAACGCAAACCTATGGTTGGATGCCCAAGAATATTTTTGTAGTCTAACAAAAAGATGACCCCATTTTGAGCCCATCTATTGATTCGTTGACCCTATGGAGCGCATCAACTTCTAAACAGAAAAATTTGGCATGTCGTGTTCGTGGGTGTGAGAGCAAACTTAAGCTATTTTTGAAAGAATGAGCTTTGGCATGCTTTGGTGGAGGTGGGAGCAAACTTTGAGCCCTTCAATAGCCCCTCCAAAACTCAACACACACAAACATAGCATTCGTACCCCCCCCCCCTAGAGTTTTGACATGCTTTATGTGAGTTTCTGAAACAAATCACATACTAGTAGCCAAACAATACAAGTATACAACAACAATAATGACCACAAAACCGGTATAATCCTAACTCAACAAAAACAACGGTATAATCCTAACTCCATTGGGGTGTAGAAGGTCAAGATACACACAGTCTTACCCTTACAAAACATAGTGGCTGTTTCGGTTGGACCCCTGATGCATTGTTGCATCTACTACCCAAAACTTCATTGGAAGTAAGAAGCAAAGAAAGCTTAAGGTGTCGTTTTGATTTAAACCATTATTCGCTTGAAGCTACAAAGAATTGTCAAAAAATGGCTCAGGTAACTCCATTGGCAATGGGCACATGGTAGCCAACCAGTGTGTGTCCTAAAAAGCACCGGGCATCCCCTAGGCAGCTAAAGGAATCGCAGTAGTAGTGATTTTTTCAAACACTGCAAACAATGCCAGCCTTAACAGAAAATTAGCCAGGACAATGCTAAAAATGGGGGTTGAATTTTTCAATATAATTACAGAACAGAAGCTGTTTATGAGCTTAGGCATAACAATAAAAACTGGGAAATCACATCCCATATCTCTTCTGTTCAAAAAGATGGAGACACCCAACATTTCACACAATGCTGAAGCAAATTCTTGTTTTCTTGAACATTAAGAAAAGTATAATATCACCCAGAAGAAGTTACAAAAAAAATAAACAGACGAGCTTTGGATCTGAATAATTAGAGGACACTTGAAGAAGGGTGGGATCTGATTCACAAGAAAATTCAAAAAAGATGGAGACACCCAATATTACACAACAAAGAAATTAAACAATGCAGAACATGGAAATGGTCAATTATTATTGTGTCAACATAAAGAAAGATTTGTTTTTTTTCTTTTTTTGGCAGAAATTGAATGCAGTCGATTGATTGCTTACCTTGGGGCAGTAGAACTACATTCAAAATAGCAGGAAAAGAGAACCCATTCAGAGAAAGTGAGAGAGTTTGGTGGTTTTTAGTTTGCTTTATAAAAAGAAGCGCATTCTCGTAATTAATACACTACTTGAAGGACTCCATGGCAACAAAGCTCTGCAAATCACCAAAAGTGCGGAGAGCATATACCAAGTGTGGAGGTCCCGTTAATGCTTAGATTAGAGAGACGTACAAAATTTAGGAGATACTCCGTACAACACAAATCACTGTATTTTTATTATAAATTGAAAAAAAGTATATTTAATTTTAATATAAATTTAATATAATTAAGTTCATCTTATCATATAGTTTGGATATATCAAATTCTTATACTCCATAACATTTATTTATTTAAATTATTTCTAATTTGTATTCAAATAATGTCACTAGTTGACCAAAAAAAAAGAAAGATTTTTAAGACGGATGAAGTTAAAACTAAGAGCATTTTGCAAATATTCCATTGTGTTATTTACAAGTTAACCTTTATATTTTTTTCTTTATTTATTTTCAAAAAATATATTTTTAAAAAATAATACTCTTTCAGTCGTAAAAAGATTATCACAGTTTGACTTTTTTGTCAAACTGTGTTTCAATTTGATCATAACTTGTGAAAAAAATATATTTAATTATAATAATACGGAATATAATTTTAGTAAAATATGGTTCGTTTTAAAAATATAATTTTGACATATCAAATTTTTATAACATTCCATTATTTAAAATAATATGGAATACTCCGTATTTAATTTATGGTCAAAGTACTGCATGATTTGATAAAAAATTAAACTGTGATAATGTTTTTAGTATGAAGTGACTGTGGTTATATTATCTTTTTTATTAAAAAGGGTTTTATTTATTTTTTAAATGTATAGATTTGACACTAATATTGAAATATACTAAATCTAAAAATTTTAAATAAGTTTTCGGCCTAAAAATTTGCGTGAAGAATTTTTTAAGTGATGATTTTACTTAAATGTTTCCATTTTCATTAATTATTTGAATAAAATAATATAGTTGTGTCTACTTTGTTACATAGAGCATATAGGGTTGTTGATTGCTTGCATGCGAGCTATTAATGACATGTATAATGGAAATAAATTCAATGACTTTTAAGTATATATGATATTAAATCAGAAGTCTTTTTAGCGATTTCTCGATTGTCTTGGTGGTGGATGTTATTTGGGGCACAAATCGCTTTTCAAATGGACAACTATGTTAAAGATTAATGGGCCGCTAAGAACAAACTTCTAAACGGACTTCTTAACCATTGAGGTGCACTAAAACTGACTCTGGTATCATGACAAAAACTTAGGGTGTGGCATGAGTCACTAGACTAAGCACTGAGATAATTGGATTGAATTTTATTAAAAGATTGAATCCAATCAATTGCTTAGTTGAACTCAAAAACTTATATATCAATTATTTGAACTTTTTTCATGACAAGTTCTAGGAAGCACACTCCCTAAGATTCATAGGGGAATTTCACCTACCATATATATTGGTTCATTGTGCGTTATTAGACAAAAAATAGTATGAACAGACACTACATTGTAATAGAGTCAATAACAGTAAAATAATATGAACTATTTCTTTCTATTTTTCTAATGTCGGATACTCTCTAACAATAAGGAACTTTATACGAAGTTAAAAATGTGGATATAAACTCTGAAATCCAAATGTTTTAATTTGAGCAAAACTAAGACCGACAACGTAGAATATATCACCAACTCAATGCTTTGATAATTGAGTCATATCTAAGAGTGAAAATTGATGCTCATCTGGTACATGTGAGAAAAGGGTTTTCATATATGTCATTCACGTGGGTAGAGAAATAGTCGCTCGAGTGAAGTCAAAGTTTGCTTTATGTGTCCGTCGTGACAAGAGCATTTCAAGAAAGCTCAAAGGAAAGTTTTGCCAAACTATAGTCTATCCGACTATGTTGTCTAGAGCTGAATATGGCTATGTTAGCCAGATGAGAATAATAATACTCCCTCCGTCCTATAATAATCTTCCCAAAGCACTATTCCAACTTCACGGTAATTTATATTTATTTGTGTTTTTTCATGGCCTATATGATAAAATAAAATATTCTTGTCACCACTTGTTTTGTTGAACTTTTGGTGTAGTTTTTAAATATGTATGTTTTATTTTTTATTTCTATACCAATATTTAAATAAAATAGATTGAAAAAATTTGGGATTTTTCTTCGTTTTGCGAACCGGGAAGATCATTATAGGACGGAGGGAGTAATTGTATAAACTGATTTAAACTAAATAATCAATTCGATTATGATTTTTAATTTGATTAAATCTAGATGTCNCCAGATGAGAATAATAATACTCCCTCCGTCCTATAATAATCTTCCCAAAGCACTATTCCAACTTCACGGTAATTTATATTTATTTGTGTTTTTTCATGGCCTATATGATAAAATAAAATATTCTTGTCACCACTTGTTTTGTTGAACTTTTGGTGTAGTTTTTAAATATGTATGTTTTATTTTTTATTTCTATACCAATATTTAAATAAAATAGATTGAAAAAATTTGGGATTTTTCTTCGTTTTGCGAACCGGGAAGATCATTATAGGACGGAGGGAGTAATTGTATAAACTGATTTAAACTAAATAATCAATTCGATTATGATTTTTAATTTGATTAAATCTAGATGTCTTATCACTCACTGCAGTAATTCATGTCTCATAAAACATTATGTATATTGACATACTAATTCTTATTTTAAAGGTTAAAATACTTTTTGATAATATATATTAACGTAATAACTTTTATTTTAAAAATAAAAACACGAAACTTATATTTTTTCCCAATATTTTAGTGTTATAGTCTTTTGAAATGGATTTGAAGCTTCAAAGGACCAAACACCATTTCCATTTTATCTCCGAGGCGTCCTTCTCCACCATTGCTCTCAATCACTCAGTTTCTTCTTTCAGATCAGTAATTCAGTACCTTCCCCCTCAGGTTAGAATGTTAGATCCTCTCTTTCGCTGCACCTACGCGCTCATTATTCACGATGGATCCATCTATTTCTTCATCTTATTACCAGTATTTTTTTTGTTTGGTTTAGATCTGTATTATTCGCCATCTTATAATTTCCGTGTTTAATTTCCTGATTATTTCTTGACCACAATACGAGCTCATCTTTTGTGTGTGCGGTTTCTATTTTGGACCGTGATTCACAATACAAAATAAGGAGGAAAAAAGAAAAGAATTGATCCAACTTATCATTTGTGATATATGGGAAGTTGGGATGAGGTTTTCTGCAATTTACCATTAATGGGAGCTTTTGGTTAGTTCTGCTAATTCTACTTATTAGGCAACCTCTTTGTTTTGGGAGTGTTTATAATTTGAGGTGGTTTAGGTTGAACTTTCGCCCGGATTTTTCGTGACGCATTAGGGATACGCTTTGTTTGGAAGTTTTTTTTCAATTGTTCTCCTACTTGATATCTGCATATGTGTTTGATTAGGGAAAACAAATTGAACCTTTTATTTGCTCTTTTTAGAAAACGAGAACTATCTTCCATCATCCTCGTCATCGTCATCGTCATCATCATCATCACATTAACCTCAACGGATATATCCATTTCAAATTAATTCGCTCACTTTGAATTTACAGAGATTAAAAAAGGCGTTGATAAGATGTTGAGTCGTGAAAAGCGAGTGATTAGGAATTAAACCAACATGCAATATACATGATACTACTAGAATCTGCTAGTTTTATAAGGTATACTTTTAGAATGAAATCCCAAAGCCTTAGCGAAGTTATTGAATGTCATCAGAAAAAGAAGCTAAAAGTAAAGAAAAAAGTTTATGAGTGAGTTCAAACCATATGAAATTAGTTGGATTTTGGTATACCTTAATAATAACATGTACTTCACATTTCAAATGTATTTGAATAGTGTGTACATTACACAACATGCATTTGGATACACATATGGTGTTATGTTTAAAAGTGTCTCGCATCACATGAATGAAAAGTGAAAACATCTCAATATTTTTAATGGGAAATGGACTAAACTAGGAGTAAAACATCTAAAGTACCAAAATAGGATATCAATGTTTTTCTATGCCCAAAATAGGAATACATTGTCAGAATATAGTACGAAAAAATATAGTGGGATGCCACTATGCAGTGTCATAATGTCACAGTGCAAACTTCTATTTTGGAGAAGAAAACATGGAACTCCTATCTTGAGGATAAACGCTATGTTTTACTCCTATTTGGGGTGATTTCTTCTAGCTTTGTTTTAGATTGATTTAGACATGTATGAATCTTGTTCTGAACACTTATATGAGTAACATGTGTTTGACTAGAGGCTTTGTGGACATGGATAGCGGCAAAACTGGTGAATCATCGGATGTGGAGTGGGCCGATTTCGAGTGCAATATCTACTTCGAATTGGCGTGTGATCCCATAGTCACACTCTGTGGCCACCTTTACTGCTGGCCATGTCTCCACCAATGGCTGCAAGTTCATTCGCGTTCTCACGAATGCCCTGTGTGCAAGGCCATCATAAAGGAGGAGAGGCTAGTCCCCATATACGGGCGTGGCAAAGCGTATTCCGACCCTAGGACGCGTTTGGCTACGAGAAGAATTCCGAATCGTTCCAGACAAGACGAGGAGATGGAGGATTTCATGCAAGTGCCAAACGCAACGGCGAGGTTTGGGAACTTAACATTGTTGTCTTTTCTTTTTGAGTCCATTTCTTCCGTTTTTACCCTTCACGCGGAGAGATTTAACGATGCCACCGTGTACGGTGCGACCACGGGCGCTCCTTACATGTTTTCAAGTTCGTTTCACGGAGTGTATTCTCACGGGTTTTATCACGATGGAGAACCCGTGGACGGTACGAGGTTTTTCTTGAAGACATTCTTGTACATCGCGGCCTTCCTTTTAGTGTTTTCTTTGCTTTTGTTTTAGATAGATAGATAGATAGGTTCGTATTTCTCAAGTTTAGCATGTAAAATTATCCAAACAAGCATTTGTTTTATCACCCTAATCCATCCAAGTTTGAAAAAAATATTTGGACGTGAATCTAAAATCCATATAAACAAGAGAAATTTACCTAAATAGGACTAAAACATAATAATTTTTCCAATATAGGACCATATGTTTATATTTCCCAACGTAGGACCTTTGGTCATTATCAAGTAATCATTATTTAACTAGATATCTATCATTACTGGACATTATTTCTTCCATTAGGTCATTAATAAGTCCTACTTAGGAAATAAAAAAGTTTAAGTCCTATATTAGGAAAGTCATTATGTTTTAGTCTTATTTAGTGCAAATTTCACTATAAACAGTACATAGGCTCTTTCATGTAAATAAAATACGAGTAAATTCTTAAAACAGTCCTTTCGAATAAAGTTTCCCAAATTAGTTCTCAATCAACAATAATTACCAACATGGTCTTTTGTAATTAAGACGCCATGAAGTAACTAGTTAGATTCGTGAATTTATAACTGAATCTTAAATTTTTTTTAATTCTATCTATTCCATCCATTTTATAATAACTGATCTATTAAAATTTATTTGATACATTAGTTTTTAAATAAATGTAGATAAACTTAAATCTACATTCATTTAAAATATAATGATCATTAATTAATAGATAATCATTGTGAAATGGATAGGATAAAGAGTTACAAAGGGGAGAAAATTTGGACATGCCAACCGTGCCAAGTGCGAAATCGTAAATCTAAACTTACGTGGGGACTCGTGGCGAATTAAACGTGTAACTAAACATTTGAAAGTTCTTTGCTCTTCCTCCCACCTCAAATTACATTCTTAAAATACACTACTCTTTTTTTTTCTTTTTTTTAATGATAAAATTCAAAATAAAATTTATAATTCTCTATTTTTATTTTCACAATGAAGAAAAAAAAGGATGAAATGCGCCATTTCCTATAATTTTATTTCGTTTTTCTAATTATATTTTATTTTGGCCTTTTTTTTGGAAATTTGTAAAGGTCATATAATTCGGTCAGCCTAGGCGTCTGTCTACCAAACCCAGACTTACATGGCATCTCTCTCGCCACGTTTGTTTTTTTCGTACCTTTTTCCAAAAGAGTTAACAAAACCGGTAAGCTTCAAAGCAACTTCATACTCCCTCCTCGGCCGGTCCCATTGTAATCTTCAATGATACTCCCTTCGTCCCAAAAAGTCTTTCATGTTTCATTTTTGCGCATCTCATAAAACACTTCTATCCCACCTTGAATGTCAAAATAACTTCTACCCACAATAAAGAAGAAATGTTGTAAATTTTAGACATTTTAGATGTCGGTAGAAGTGTTTTATGGGATGCGCAAAAAATGAAACAGGAAAGACTTTTTGGGACGGAGGGAGTACATTTTTATTTTTGTCCCATCGGAATTTTAACATGGTATCAAAGAATGCAGGTGGAGTCCGGGTTCAATTCTTCGTGATTATATGGACGTGGACTTATCCAAGTGTACTATGACTCATATCCTGATTTATTATTCTTGTTAAATAAAATTTATATATTAATTTAAAATACTATGTCAAAAATTCTACAAAATAACACATGACAAAACTACATTATTTTATTAAATAGTTAATGAAAAATAGTTACGAAAAATCATTAGAGTTTGACTGTATGAATAATGATGAGGATAAAGTATAAAAGGGAACAGTTATAGTTTGGGAAAGCAGTCGTGCGTGGGTAGCTAACAAACACAGCTAAGATTCCTCCACTCTCTTTGCGTCTTTCATTGACCAAACTAACTCAACCTCCCAACCTATATTTATTCATCTCTCTCTCTATTTTCTCCCAGAAAGAAAAAAAAACAAGAGAAAATAAAATTAATAAAAAAAATGGAATTAGAAAAGGCGGTGGCGGGTTCGGGTGAGAATGGCAGAAAGGTAAATAACAGCGGCAGGGTTCGAAAATGGAGGAAATTTGGGCACAATTGGCGGGAAGAGTCGAAGGCGGTGTGGCACATCGCCGGACCCGCCATCATAACCGCCGTCTCTCAGTTCTCTTTCGGCTTCGTCACCTCCGCCTTCGTCGGACAAATCGGCCACGTGGAGCTCGCTGCTGTCTCCGAAGTTCAGAATGTCATCGAAGGCTTTGTCTATGGCATCATGGTAATTAATTCTCTTTCTCTGCCCCAAATTAATATCAAACCTTTTCTTCTTTCTTTATGTAGGAGCATTTATTTTCAGTGCTAATTTGTTAAGACACTTATTGTTTTATGAAGCATTTTATATTTACTCCATAGTTTTTTAACTTATATATTTTATTTTAAAATTTTGCACCAATAGTTAAATAATTGATTTGAGAATAGACAAAATCAAACCTCATTATATGTAATAGGACCCCTTCTATTTGCTTGTGATGATTCACTCTTTTCATCTCAAAATAAACTTTTTCGTGTACAAATGAGAGGTGTTTAAAGAGCATCTTGGAAAAGTTAAAGAAAAGTACTCCCTCCGTCCGGAAATATTCTTTCCATATGACTTTTTACGGTTTCCAAGATTGCACTTTGACCATTAATATCTTTATTTATACATGGATATATTTTATAAAAGTGAAATTTGCACTAAATAGGACTAAAACATAATGACTTTTCTAATGCAGGACTTAAACTTTTTTATTCCCTAAATAGGACTTAATAATGACCTAGTGGGAAGAATAATGACTACTTGATAATGATCAAAAGTTCTACATTGGGAAATAAAAACATATAGTCCTATATTGGGAAAGTCATTATGTTTTAGTCCTATTTAGGTAAATTTCTCATATTTTTTCAACATATCATAGTCTAAGTTTACAAACTTTGACCAAGAAAAGTCAAATGGGAAGAATATTTCCGGACGGAGGGAGTATTACTCCGTAAAAAAATAAAAAGTGTTTTTTTTAAAGATTTTCTAAAAAGAAAAGCGAGTAAAATATTGTGGGACGAAAGGCGTAAAATTAACAAGATTTGGATACCATGACATGAAAACGGAGTCCATCTTTTTTATAAGTGGTATACTTTTTCAAATATTCCGATGTGGGACTATGACATTCTTCGACGGTGTTTGGGAGTGTATTTGAAAATAACTTATAGCTTCTACTTTACTAAAACACTATTTTAAATGTTTGGCAATCTGCTTTAGCTTATGAATTATGGTTTTAGAAGTAGAAATTAAGGGGTAGAAGTGCTTTCCACCAAAGCTAAAAATAACGGTTTTCCGCTTGAAACTTATGACTTTTACTTTTCTATTACTCACGACATTCCCAAACATCATCTTATTATTATACATGCAAACAGTTAGGAATGGGGAGTGCTCTTGAGACTCTATGTGGGCAAGCAGTGGGAGCTTCAGAGGTGAACATGTTGGGAATCTATCTACAAAGGTCATGGATCATCACCGGATTCACGGCTATATTACTCACCCCGGTTTACATCTTCGCTTCGCCCATACTCAAACTCTTCCATCAAGACAAACACATATCCCACGTCGCGGGCAAGTACGCGATCTGGGCAATTCCCCAGCTCTTCGCGTACGCGTTCAACTTCCCCATGCAGAAGTTCCTCCAGTCCCAGACCAAAGTCTGGGTCATCGCCCTGGTGTCTCTCGCCACCCTGGCGCTCCATTCGCTCCTCACGTGGGCCCTCGTCATGAAGCTGGGCCACGGCTTGCTCGGGGCTGCAATAGCCGGGAACGTGTCTTGGTGGGTTTTGATCCTTGCCCAGGCCGCTTACATTGTCTCGGGCCGGTTTCCTGAGTCTTGGACAGGATTCTCATTCATGGCTTTCAAGTCATTGTTTAATTTCGTGAAGCTATCGTTGGCCTCGGCTGCAATGTTATGGTGAGTGAGCTCTACTTAGCTTGATGTTATGTTTCAAAAAATTGGTTGAGTTGGTTTCTTGACACATATCAAAGTATAAAACATTTCTTGGGTCTCCAATCACAAGAACTTGTGGTTGAGTTGGTTCCTTGACGAAAAAGACCTTGCGTTGAACTAGCTAGTCGTTTAGTGTTGTTTGACTCAAGTGTTTTATGATCCATTTGAATAGTAGTCTTCTTTATTCAATCTTAAACTCTTTCATTATTATTATGGTTTGAGGCGATGCTTTAGCGAGTTCTAAAAAGTAGCATTGGTTGCAATTTGCAGCTTGGAGCTTTGGTATTTCACTGCTGTGATTCTCATGGTTGGAGGGCTAAGCAATGCTGCCGTCGCTGTGGACGCGGTGTCAATATGGTAATTATCTCTTACGAACTCAGTAAATCACACTCAAAAATATACAGAAGAAATTGAACTAGAAAACTATTGGGAAAAAAAACACTTTTTTCTTTCTTTTTTTACTCTTGTTTAGTTTTCACTCATACCGATCGTATCATCGTTGTATATGACAGTGTGAACCTGCAACTATGGGCACTGATGGTTGCTCTTGGATTCAATGCATCTGTCAGGTAAAAAAACAAACTCATTTCATCTTCAAAATCACTAATCATATGTTTTGTTGGTTTTTTATATACAAAAAAAAATCTAGGAAACCCCACATTTGACACTACCTTTGACACCATAGTGTCCCACAAACACACGTAGACAATATCTGTCTATGCGAGAACCGTGTGTGTGTGAGACACACTATGATGTCCAATGTGGAGTTCCCCTAGCATGAATGTTTTAATGTTTTCTATATAAATATATGAAAATTGTGTTGTCGCAGTGTGAGGGTTTCGAATGAGCTAGGAGCAGGGAGACCGGACGCCGCGAAATTCTCAATCACTGTGAATACAGTGACATCAGCAATCCTAGGAACTGTTTTCACAGTCATTGTAGCCTCCACCGTGCACCAATTTCCCAGGATGTTCACGAAGAACGAAGAGGTCATGAAGACGACCTCCAAGTTAGGATATCTCCTGGCTGCAACAATCTTCTTAAACTCTGTCCAACCGGTTTTCCACGGTATGATTGATCATTGTTAGATTATAAAACCGGTTTACAAAGTCTTGTTGACCTTGAAGTCACGAGTTCGAATCACACCCAGACTTTAACAAAACAATATTTAAATGCAGGGGTGGCAGTTGGCGCGGGTTGGCAACATATAGTGGCGGGGGTAAACTTGGTAAGCTATTACGTGGTTGGCCTCCCGATTG